AATAATAATAATAATAATAATAATAATAATAATGCATTATGGTGAGGAACCAGACAGACCTGATATTTTAATTACTAACATCGTAACGGATCTCTTCTCAGGAAACCATGTTCAGGTTATAAACTAAAGGAGATGACAGGGAGTGGAATTTTTGCATCATCCGGAGAAGATGACTTGCTAGAGTCTGAAAACCCAAACACTACCACTCCCAGCAACAAAACTGGACTCCGAATGTATCAGGTGCTCTGATCTGATGATGAACTATTACAGCTGTTTGCTCTTTTTGTTAATTTAGATATACCCATAGCTGTCTTTCTTTATTGTTGCATTGGTTTAGTAGGAATAGATCTTACAATACTTTTATAATACACCCCTACCTAATCACTACTGAAACGTATGAATATGTCCCGCAGCAGGTTGCTTCTGGGGTGAGCCAGATTTCGTTTGGGGAGGAAGAAGCTGTCTCAACGAAGAAACCAACCACACTGCCTGAAGTGGCGAAGCAACGGGAGCTTAGTGGAACTCTTGGGATTGAATCAGATTCGAAGTTGAACAAGCAGATTTCTGAAGCAAAGAACAAAGAGCTCAGCGGTCATGACATCTTTGCTCCACCACCTGAGATTAAGCCCCGGCCATTGGCTGCTCGGGCATTAGCATTAAGAGAGAGCATTTCAATTGGAGAACCGGCTCCTAATCATGTATGAATCTTACTCCGTACTTATTTCTTTATGCTGTAAAATAAGAGCAGATCCATAACATATATGCATTTTCTACTTTCTAGTGCCTTTATGGTTCACCTGAAAAGAAAATGTGGAGTAAATTTGGAAAGAAAGACACTTTGTTGAAACTTAGTATATTTACTTGTTTGTATTATGTAAACACAAAAAAATCTAAAAATATTCCATAAACGTTTTAAAGAATTGAGCTTTTTTTAACATTCCATAATACGTTCAGTCTTTACTTTGCATTTGTGTTCATTCAGTCATTTGCTCAGTGATCCAAATATACACCCAATCTTTTGAAACCCAGATATTTTCTTGATTCCAAATAAGTGTGATGTTAGTAAATGCTTGATTTGGAATGTATTTTTGCTTCAATTGAAATTGTGGTGGAATATGTGAGGGAAAATTCTATTTTCTAAAGAATGAAAGATCTTAACTTTTTTTAGAAGTTTTAGTAACACAAATCAAATTCTATTTTTCTTTGCATTTTATAGAGTGAACAAAAAAAGTTAACTATTTGAACCCTAATTTGGCCCTAACCCATCTAGCATGTTGATCATCCTTCTCTCTATATTTTTTGAACGCTAATAACTCTTTTATAAGGTAGTAACTGTTTATACATTTGCAACCTATTAAAGCACATAGAGACACTGCCTCCATTGGGGTAACCTCCCATTTGGGAGTGTCACCTTATCCTCTATATATGGATGCATTACTTTTTCTTCCATTCTTGTATTGAGCTGGCATTAATATCTTGCAGAATGTGGAAGCAAGCGAAGAAGCAGTTTGCAAGACAGCGAAAAAAATTCCAAACCAGAAGCTTGCAGAGCTTTCAGGAAATGGCATCTTCAAGGGAGATACTCCCCCAACATCTGCAGATAAGCATCTGAGCTCGGCAAAGCTGAGAGAGATGAGTGGCAGTAACATCTTCGCCGACGGAAAAGTAGAATCTCGGGACTACTATGGTGGGGTCCGCAAGCCCCCGGGTGGTTCGAGCAGCATTGCACTCGTGTGACTTGTTAATTATTAGTAGGTCGATCTCTAACTCAAAACCAAACCGGTTCGTTCATATAAATTACAACTGCTTGGTTATTCGTGTGGTCCTTTTTCTTGTTTTTTTTCTTAAAATTTGATGTGTCAATGTGGGTTGTGTTTGCTGGAGTTGTGTGTTAGAGTTTTATTAACAAGTCAACCATAGGTTGGAGAACTGTGAACCGCTTAAGCTAATTGGGTTGTCTTGTTCATAAAATCTGTGCTTTTGTGTGTTCATTTGTATGAAAATGGATTCATTTTTATAAAATTTTACTTTTTTTAAATATAGTATATTTTTTCTTATTTCATTGTTTTTGGCTTTCTAAGTTTAACATTAATCTCTTTTTATAAAAAAAATGTTTAACATTAAGCTTCTCCTAAAAGTTAGGCTCCGTTTGGTATAAGGAATTGGTGGAATTAGAATTGAAATTTCATGGGATTCAATTCCATAGAATTGAATTCTGTCAATTTCAATTCATTTTTTGCACTATCAATTTCAAATTCACATAATTTTTGTGCTACCAAACACCAGAATTGGAATTGAAGTCTCCAATTTCAATTCCATAGTTTGAATTCCATGTACCAAACGGGACCTTAGTGTTGCACAAGCATAGCATTTAGAAGTGGCTAACATGGGTGCTGTGAAATTAGTCCCTGTTTCAACTCTTGAACTTTTTTTTGATAGACATCCTCTTAAACTCTAAAAACATTTCTTTTTGATACATTGAGCTTATCCTCCATTCCAATTGATTCATGATGGAGAAAAAAATCTCATAATTTTAGACAAACACGGAGTACAATATAAAAGAAGCATTGAAAAGTAGGTGAAAAGTGATGTTCGAAATTTGTTCAGAAAAAAATAGAAATATTATGGATCGCATAGTTACTTTATTAGGTATGGTTGGTGAAATAAATACTTGGTTTTTTTTATATTGTAATTTGAAATGGATGTTATACCAACTTTTTATTCGTTTTGGCAAATCCAACCACTTCAGTCCAACATACCAGTAGTATTTACCCAATGAGTCATGTTTTTTTTTGTATTTTTTTTCATTTTTCCATTATAAATATTCAATCGAGTATTGAAATAATCAGTTTTTTTCTTGTGATTATGAAGCCGCTAAAATGAAGTGTTTAAGAAGGAAAATAAAAACTCGTAAAAAAATTTGTAGAGCATGGCAATACAAACAAGCATGCCATAATGCTTGATTACATACAGTGATAAAACCAAGTCCTCAACCCGCAAAGGTTATTTAACAGAAAAACAATGAAAGCACACACGACCCATGGAGAGATCACTTTATTATTATGGAAATCATTTTATTATTATTCTTATTGCTATTATTATAATTATAATTATTATTTAGATGAGGTTTGTGATGTTGTTCAATTGTCAGCATGACCAAGCAAGGCCAAGAGCATATCTTCATAGTCGCCGCGGGTGTCTTTGGCAATGGCGCGGTCTAAAGGGACGCTATTCACCTTCTTGAACTCCTCCATGATAACCTTGAGATCAACTTCGGCTCTTGTCGCAATCACTCTGGTCAGGTCACCTTCATCCGTGCCTCTCTTGTTGATTGCACCCCTAAGCACCTCCACGAAGTACCTCTCAGGGTAGAGGAGCGCCTGAATTGCCGCTCTCAGTATGGAAGTGAATTCATCCTTCCCATCGCCTTCCAAGTCCTGCGGATGATGGAAAATCAAATTCATCTTTGAATGTGGAACCAGACATGAAGACATAGATTTGTATTGAAACTTGAGAATACAACAAAAGACAACATCAAACACAGGCACACAAACAAAGTAAACACAGTAGCACGGACAAACTATAAGAGCACAAAGACGTGAAGCGTATGAGAGAATACCTTGAGAATGTCTTGTCCATATTCGTCTCTATAGTGATTCAAGGTTGCATTGCTCTGGCATTTGCTCCTAGTGGTCAGAACTCTGATGACTAGCACTTATCCGAGATCTTCTCGTGCAGCAGTTTGGCCTCATGTTTAGCTAGAGTCATATTTACCTCATCGCCCCCGTAGCGATATGTGCTCACCAGAAGCACCAAAAGCTGGGAAATTCAAACACTTCAGAATGTGACAAATTGCTACTGGCCTCACTTCTTAGTTCATGCTATTATTATTATTAAGCCACTTCTTTTTTTAATAACGAATACCTTGCGGAAGTCCCCAGTTGTGTGCTGGGCAACATCTTCTTCAAGGGATTTCTTGAAACGAGCGTGATAAGCTTGTCTGACAGCAATCAAATCATTGGGTGATCTTGTACAGGCAATTTCCACCAGCACTTGATTGCTTGCTGTCCATTTCTTGGTTGCTTCGTTGGCCAAAAGCGTGTCGCGTTCGTGAGGGTCCAGTGTCCACAGCACCACTATTTTCTGAAACCATATACGGAGTACGATTTTTGAACCAGGAAATCAAGTCCAGAGTGAAGAGATATAATGCAAGTATATTTCAAATTGTATTTGACATACCTCAAAATCATGAGTGAGTTCCCTGTTTAACTCTTTGAGGATGTCTTCCCCATAGGTTTCTGCGTATGCCTGCCGGATCGAATTGCGCTGAGCAGCGTTTCTATGACCCAATATTGATATGATCAACTTCTCATTAGTCCCCCATCCTGATACCAACACAATGAAATTCATCCAGAACCATAAGTAAAACCAGTAGTTAATAATAACACTCCGTAGTGAGAATAATACATGGGTCAAATAATGTGAATGGATTGAATTCAATCGATTAGCTAATTCGACAAAACCAAATGAATCCACGAACAAACATGAGGATCCAACACCCAAAACCTGAGTGAAGAAACACACAAAGATTTGCAAGGTCAAATGATTAACTGTAATCGTGTATTAACAAAACGAGACATGATCGATCGATTCAATTAGGTGGCTCATGAATGTGAGGGAAATGGGGATATGTCTAGATCCGATGAAGAAGAACTTCGCAAATCAAGCTTGCAACACAACAGCTTACACAATGAAAATGATGGATCGATTGATCGAAATCGAAAAGCAATTGCAATAGGAAAACGATCCATAGAATCAGTAAAGTCACACAAACAAGAAGTACGATGAAAAAGAAGAAACTGGAAATCAAATCTACCACAATGCACAAACGCATGCCCTTTCTAGAATCGGAGAGATGGGGAGAGATAAAAAAAATGATGAAAAGAGATGACCTTTGAAGGCAGCTCGGAGTTGCTCGCAGTCTTCGGAAACGGGAGGGACACACGCCGGAACAGTGACTGTGGACATCGCTGCAGATTGATTTTGCCGCGCCACGAAAACGAGGGAGTGGAGGAAGATGTGTGTGAACTCATATACGTCACCTCTTCTCCTTTTATTATGCTGACAGACTCGAATTGTGTTTGATTTTGACTTTTTAAGATATAAAAAAAGAGTTTATTTTGAAATTCTTATCTGCGTAAAAAATAAGTCTAACAAATTTATTTTTATATCAATATTTAATATAAATTTATCACATATATACTATATATGTGATAAATTGCCAATGGCACAATAAAATACAATATTTTTTTGAAGTAAACAACTTTCATTCATCAAATCAAATGAGAAACAAAGTCAGAGGGAGAATTCCACCACTCATTAGTCCTTTCCCCCGCCTCTCTAGCAAGAGAATAAGCAATATAGTTCGAGGTTCTAGGAATATAAAAAACTTCAAAGAAATAAAAGAGCTAGCGAAAGACCTACATTCATCCTCAACGGCACCCAAATACGAGATGTTTCTACTCGATGGATTATTGAGTGCTTTAATCAACAGTTCACAATCAGACAAAACACTAACCTCCGAGAAGCCATGGTCTTTAATCCAAGACAAAGCCTCTTTAATCGACATGGTTTCCGCAATTCGTGGCTCTAAAGGACAGTTAATGCAAGAGTTGAAAGCTCCAATAAAAGAATTATCTTCACCTCTAAGGATTACACCGACTCCCACCCGCCGAGCATTCTCGAACACAGCTGCATCCACCGAGCACGTAATGCCGCAGATTCTAGCCTCCGCCACTGGTGCCTTCGACCCCGAACAGTTTGATGGCGTTGAGGCCACAGCCTCCCTGGTCCAAGCCTCGATGATACCCACTATCGGCAACTTACTCTCCCAATTGGCCATGTTCCCCGCCTTCCACAGTGCCCAGATCCCCGCCGCCACGCAGTCCATTTCCCTTCCGACCCTACTGCCAAAGTTGAAATCTGCCCAGTGCAATAGCGAATCGAAACAAAGGCCCTGGTTATTGACAACCTTGACTCCCAGCACCCGCCACAGTCTCTGCGCAACCGGGAGGCCACGAAAACATGAGTAACACTCTCCTCAGCAGATCCACAACTACGACATAAAGTATGTACCTGTATTCCTTTGCTCTCTAGCGAACATGCAACCGGCAAAATATCCCGCAGGGCCCTCCAAAAACAAACTTTAACTTTAGGAGGCACATTTAGCTTCCATAACCTGCTCCAATGGTTAAAAAAGGACGTGTCTGCTGCCTCCCCAGTAAGCTTCCTGTACGCACTTTTAACAGTGTAAACCCCAGACGAATCCAACGCCAAGTACCATTGGTCCGAAAGCGCTGGCAATATCGGGACCTGAAGAATCCGAGCTCTATCTTCTTCAGAAAACCAGTGCTACAACATATCCAATTTCCAAGTGTTAGCGGAGTGATCAATGAGAAACGAGACTGGAAAATCAGGGCAAAAATCTGGTCGGGGAGTAGAAATAGACGAGCTTGATTTACTTCATAACCATGTGTGGCTCCAAAAAAAAGAGTTAGAATGACAATTTTTCTAGTCTTTTAGAGCGAGTAGACACGAAATTTCAAAGAAATTTTGGCTTGAAATGACAAAAAATATTTAAAAAAAATTCAAACATTTATTGAACGTATAATATTTAATACTCCCTAGGTAATGTAACATTTTATTGTATAAATAATTAATTATGTGCAATAAAATACACATTACTAAAAAATTGAACAAAAAATTAAATCTAACCTAATTAGATGGGGTCGCATTAATTTTTTGGGAAGCATAAATACATACAATTTCCAAAAAATGTTTTTTTACCTTATTACAAAAAATTAGTAGGGGGCATATGCCCCCAACAACATCAATGTGCATCTGCCCCTGATTAGATTGAAAAATTTATAATCAAATATCGGCTCGGTTCCATGGCCACTGGAATCCAGTGGCCACGAAAGCCACTGCCCTCCTACAGAGCCCCGTTCATAAAATTGATGACTCCTACCCCCTCTAATCCCCCCCCCCCCCGGTAAACCCCCCGCCAAGTCCCGACCCAAACTAATCACCCCACCTACGTCAATTGCACCTTGTAAGTATAAAGTCAAAACTTTTGACTTTAAAGTCAATTATACTTACGAGGTGCAATTGACGTAAGTGGGGTGATTAGTTTGGGTCGGGACTTGGCGGGGGGGGGGGGGTTTACCGGGGGGGTTAGAGGGGGTAGGAATCCAGTGGCCATGGAACCAGACCGATCAAATATACCTAAATATGACTAAAACATAATGATTTTTTCAATATAGGAGCATATGTTTTTATTTCCCAATGTAGGATCATTGGTCATTATCTATTAGTCATTGATCAATTAAATGTCCAACACCATTTGGACATTATTCTTCTCACTATATATTATTAAGTCCTATTTAAGTAATAAAAAAGTTTAAGTCCTACAATGAAAAATGACTTATATTTTAATCTTATTTTGTGCAAATTTCACTGAAATTTGCACTAAATAGGACTAAAACATAAGTCATTTCCTAATATAGAACTTAAACTTTTTTATTTTCTAAATAGGACTTAATAATGTCTAGTGAGAGAAATAATATTGAGTAATGATGGACATTTATTTGAATAATGAATAATTGTTAATGACCAAAGGTCCTATATTGGAAAATAAAAACATATGATCCTATATTGGGAAAATCATTATGTTTTAGTTCTATTTAGGTAAATTTATCTTCTTTCTTCTCATATGTGTCAAGGACACGTGGAATTAAATCACGAGTTAGCAAATGTGGAGCAACATCTCTTTTTTTTTTGAAATAGAAAAGAACTTCTATTGATCCATCAATGGGAGAAGAAAACTTGGGGGAGCAATGTCCCAAACAATAAAATGAGTATCACACCCTCTAGCCAAAACATGAGCAAACTTATTAAAAGAACGACGGACAAAATTTATAGAAATGAAATCAAATTCATCTAAAACAGCCATGCACCCATCAATGATGCCTCCAAAGTATGAAGGAAAGTCGGGACTAACCTCTTGACATAGCAATTGCACCACGCTAAGACAATCCGAATAGAGCTCGACCTCACGCACACCACACCGTCTAAGCCACAAAAGTACTTCACGACATGCCAAAGCTTCCGCCACCAGTGGATCTTGAACGTAGCAAAGAGGTCCGTTACACGCTGCCCGGAATTGACCCTCGGGACTAAGTAGAATTCCACCAAAGCCAACACGTCCAGTCCGCGGGAAAAGGCTTGCATCCACAAAGCATTGCAACACACCTGGCCGACGAATATGAAGGGGAAGAACGGCTCCCTCCTGTCCAGTAGCATCAAACCTATTTCTCCATCCTGCCACCATGGAGTGAATCATCCGAACCACAGCCTGCGGCATAACCACACGCTGCTCCCAGACAGCGGTATTTCGAGTTTTCCAGAGCGCCCAAATAGTCCATGCCACAACCTGTAGCCCTTCAAGTGAACAAATCTCACACTGCCGTTGGAACCATGCCCCAAAAGTTAGATTTCTGTCTCCTCCACACTCTATCTGCTAATCGGCACTGGAGAAAGACATGTTCAAGTGACTCCCCGGTCTGGCCACACACTGGACAAGAATTATCAAGGTTCAATCCTTTAGAATTTAGAGCCGGGATGGTTGGGAGAATACCTTGAAGAGCACGCCATAAGCAAACCTTCACCTTCATGGCCACCGAGATCTTCCAAAGCCGTCCCCAGTTTGAGAAACCAAGTACAAAACCTGCCTCACCCATGAATTTACGATAGGCATCCTTCACTGTGTACTGTCTATGAGACTGCCCAGCCCAAAACCACCGGTCACCTCTATTGATATCTGGAGTAATTTTAAGGATCAAGTCAATGTCCCTTTGGCCGAAGATCTGATGCAGTAGCTCCAAGTTCCAGACACCGCTCTCTCTGTTAATAAGAAAAGAAACTGGGAAATTAGGCCAATGGGTTGTCAGATCCGAGCACACCTGTGGATCAGCACTGTCTGGAAGCCACGGACTGTCCCAAACGAGAGTGTCAGAACCATTGCCAATTCTATGACGGGCCCCTGCCTTAATAAGGGGTTGGGCAGCCAAAATGCTTCGCCAACAGTAACTAGGCGTACCCCCCAACTTAGCCTCAAGAAAAGAAGTGGTGGGAAAGTACCTTGCTTTGAAGACCCGAGACACCAAAGCATCAGGTTGAGTGAGTAATCTCCAGCCTTGCTTTCCCAACATAGCAATATTGAACCCGTGGAGATGTTTGAAACCAAGACCCCCAAATTTTTTAGGGACCGCCATACGCTCCCAAGAGAGCCAATTAATACCCCTGTCCGAGTTTCCTCTCCCGTGCCACCAGAAAGCATTCATCAACCGCTCCATGTTAGAGCACATGGACTTGGGGAGCAAAAACACACTCATCGCAAATTGAGGCATAGCTTGAGCCACAGTCTTGAGTAAGACATCCTTCCCTGCTTTAGACAGCAGTTTCTTACTCCAACCCCCAATTCGGTGACGAATTTTATCTGCAATGTAAGTAAATACCTCGGTCTTGTTCCGACCCAGAAAAGAGGGTAAGCCAAGGTACTTTCCAAAGTTATCTGCCGGAGTCACTCCAAAGAACTATGTGCGGCTCTCCCGCACTTCAGGTGAGGTATTCGTGCTAAAACAGATAGTAGACTTGTTAAAATTAATAACCTGTCCTGGCACCCGCTCATATTCCACAAGACAATCTCGAACTGCAATGGCCTCCGCATTTGATGCTTTAAAAAGGAGCAAACAATCATCAGCAAATAAGAGATGGGAGATCGAGGGGGCACCCCGACAAACATGAATACCATGAAGCACACCCCGATGCTCAGCATCCTGCAAAAGAGTAGAAAGACCCTCTGCACAAAGAATGAAGAGATAAGGACTAATTGGATCCCCTTGACGAAGACCACGTGTGGGTAGAATAACATCAGACAAATCACCATTAACCAACACCCGATATCTAACGGTAGTTACACATAACATAATCAGATTAATCCACCTCTCTGCAAAACCCAAACACTGCATCATCCGTCGTAGAAAGGTCCATTCCATGCGGTCGTATGCTTTTGCCATGTCTAACTTTAAGCCCACCCAACCTTGACGCCCGGACTGCTTCCTTTTAAGAAAATGACCCAACTCTGCTGCCAAAAGAATGTTATCCGAAATCAGTCTACCAGGAAGAAAAGCTGATTGTGTATCGGAAATAATCGTCTAGAGAAGAGGTTTCATCCTATTAGCCAAAACCTTTGCCACAATCTTATAGATAATGTTGCATAGGGCAATAGGACGTAAATCTGCAACAGTCTCAGGAGAATTTTTCTTCGGGATCAAAACAATGGTAGCGTCATTCATGGCCTCAGGGAAGACACCTTCGTTTAAACACGAGAGAACAAACCGCGTAACATCCGATCCCACCACATCCCACGACCTCTGAAAGAAGGCCGGATTCATCCCATCCGGACCGGGAGATTTATCCGGATGCATCGCAAAGAGCGCTTCCTTAACTTCTTTAGCATCAAAAGGTCGGAGGAGAGCATCATTTTGAATCGAGGTTACTTTTGGTTGGATAAGATGATATAGCCCCGAGTCTATACTTCCTTCAGAACAGAAAATAGAAGAAAAGTATTGAGTGATGAGTGGTTTTAGATTATCACCCTCAAACCAAGCACCCGAACCATTACTCAACCTGTGGATGTGGTTCTTCTTATTTCTGTACGAAGCATACTGGTGAAAAAACCTGGTGTTTGCGTCAATGGACCTAAGCCAGTGTTGCTTAGCCCGTTGGCGCCAAAACACATCCTCTTGATCTAGCAATTTGGTCAAAGAAAAATCGGCTTCATGAAGCTCTCAAAGGTGACTGGTGCCTCTCTTGTTTCTAAGTCGAGTCACCACCGCCTTTAAATCTTTGATCTTCTTACCGAAAAGGTGATAACGGTCTCCACCCCAGGCTGCCAACTCTTTACCGCAATGTTCAAGTCGTGCAGGCAATGACAGTGAGCTAGAAGACTCCCAGGCACTTTTTATAACATCCTTACACCCTGCATCCTTAAGCCATGCATTTTCAAACATGAACCTTCGGATCCGAGGACGACGAGTCACCTTCGACAAACTCAAAAAGAGGGCAGAATGATCACTCCTACGACGGCCCACTCCACACACCAAACTTTTTTTTGTTGTTGAAAATATAAACAAATAATATCACTTATTTTTTTAAATAATATTGACTCTATTACAATATAATATGAGAAATTTACTAAGATGTGGCTCCACATTTGCTAACTCGTGATTTAATTCCACCTGTCCTTGACACATATGAGAAGAAAGTGCCTATTGTTTTAGATTTATACTCTATTCGTTTCAAATTAAGTTATTTGTTTACTATTCATCAAATAATACTTTAATCACATTTCTACTAATTTTTGTTACTCGTTTCATAAAATAATATAATGACATCACTATTATCTTTATTATAAAAACTTAAAAGCATATACTTTATTTTTTACATTGTGCATCAATTTTTAAATAAAACTAGTTTGGAAATAATGTGATTGTGGTGGAGGGACAATAAATAAATGGGGAGGGAGTGGGTGTTGAGCTATAAAAGTGGTCGTAGTACTTATTTCGAAAGACCCAATTGTGAAAGGGGCGGAGTTATGATACGATCCATCATCCATTTAAGAGATCGTATAACATCTAGATATATAGATAGATAGGCATTCATGGCATTCTTCAAGTGTTCAACTATCCATATGTTGCAATTTATGATCCTTAACAAATTAACGTCACACGTAAAATCTTTTTGTATGCGTAGAGGTCGGATGAGTAAAATTTTACGAAACTTATTTTTTGATATATTTGTATAATTCAAAATTTGAAAAAAAAAGAGAGAAAAATATTCATTCACGCAAATTAGTCCCTTCGTCACACAAATTAAAAATGGTGATATTTATCCGGGAGATAAGAATTAAACCCTTTGTCACACACGGAGTATCTTTTTTCTATTTTGAGTTTGGCAATTACTTTTTTAAAGTTTTAACCATAAATTACAGAAAACTATATTGGATCATGATATATAATGGATATATATTTGGATTGGGCCGAGATGTAATTATTAATGTAATTAGTCTAATATATTTATCCAATTATTGACCAGGCGCTAGAGTCCAGAGTTGGGGACGACCCGCGAGCGAATTGATGGGTTTAACCCGTATGGGCCATGAGGTGCACTTGGTGGCTAGCGCGATATAACTAGGGTTAGTTCCGTATAACTAGGGTTAGTTACTTGGAGGAGAGTTTACCTAGGTTTCCTAAGAGAGGTTTAATAGGATTAGGATGCTTAGCTTATGTTGGGATAAACGCACGCGGAAACAACACACAATCCTGAATCAACTGCATAAAAATAAACAACACAAGATTTAACGTGGTTCGGTCGCCAACTGTAACCTAATCCACACAGGGCAACTAGGAGGATTTTATTACTTTGTTGTTGTATCACCATTACAAGCACATTAGAATATCTTAAATAGAGATCAATTAGGGAGACAATGATTACGCCGCAAGCTTCTAGGTAGTTTCTTGCCAATTTCATGTTAGCTTCCACCTAGCTTCCTGGCTTCACACTCAACAATCTCCCACTTGAAGTCATGGAACAATGTTCACCTTCGCTTCAATTGTGTACATAGCTTCTGTAATCTGTCAGCGGAACTGATGTTCCACCACCTCTAGTTGCCACCAGCCTTCTTGATCATCGAGAAGACTCTGTTGAAACTCTCCTGAGTTTCAACCCATCAGTCATGGCTTGAACTGTTCTGACTCGTCCTCGGTCCCTATCGGCTCCCACTACACACACGCACTGCCGGATCCTAGAACATCCTGAGAACAAATAATCTCCATAGTCAGCAAGAAATCTTATGGAGACGTTTCAACAGCTGGAATACTGGTTCTCCGGACCTATTGTCTTCTAGGAACCTTGGCTGAAACACCACCTGTGCTCCCACTGCCACAGATACTTCTAACTAGCCTCTTTGAACCTTTCCTTGCTCGTCCAACATGAGTCTGACATGTGGCTCCGGGTTTCTCTCTTGTAAACACAACCTTCTTCTGCCCATGAGACTCTATGAACCGGACTTTGTTTCTCTTCTGAACTGGGACGATCACTCCCTTAGACGGTAACCCGACCATGTACAGCGAACCACTCTTTCTTCCGCGGGCCATTGTGGAAATTTTGGTGATAGTGGCATGATTTTTTTGTGGGTGGTATTAAATTTTTTATGTCCTAAATATCTTATCTGATAAAAATATCAAGGTCGAAATTAGTTGTAGAAGAATTTACTTAAATAACACTAAAACATAATGATTTTCTCTAAATAGCACCACATGTGTTTTTCTTCCCAATGTAGCACTTTTAGTCATTATGCATTAGTCATTATTCAAGTAAATATTTGCTATTACTGGACATTATGGACATTATTAAGTGCTATTTAGGGAATAAAACAGTTTAAGTGCTATTTAGAGAAATGACTTTAGTTTTAGTGCTATTTAGTGCAAATATTTCTTAGTTGTACCGGGTATCTCATCTTGGCATTGGAGATGGCAGAAGATGGGATGTTCCGAATTGAGAAGTTCGATGGTACAGATTTCAGTTGGTGGAAAATGCAAATTGAAGATTTGCTAGTTCAGAAAGATTTATATGTGGTATTGGGTGACATTTCAGAAAAGATGTCATATGCGGATTGAAAAACTCTTTCAAAAAACGGGATCCATTATGGTTAATATGGGGCAACTGCCACAAGTCCAAAAAAATTAGTTCTAACTTTTTTTTTGGGGGGTTTGTATATTGGTGCCTCGAGTCAAAAACAAAATTTGCCCCTAGTAAAATATATTCTATCCCTAGTAAAAGAATCAGTTTAAAGTAAGAAATAATTATTTAAATAAAATATAAAAGTAAAACATTTAAAATATGCTCCGTAATAGTTAGATTAGATTATGATATGTTTCATATTATACGTTATATTTTAAAACTATTTTTGTAGAAATATAATTAGATCTAAACTTGAATGCTTTAATTACACATAGATCCACTATTCATAATAGTTATAAGACCATGACCTAATTACGAGTCCAACAAGAATGAACCCTCTACATTCCTTAACAATTTTATTTTACTAATTTGAATGCATGTTTGAAAATGAATTTATTCATTTCTCTTTAGTAAAAATAGCCTTTGTTGCCTCTGAACAAACTTACAAACACCCAATTGTTACTATGGCCTTGCACAGTCACGTTTTGTTTTTTAGATCCCCCAATGGGGGTGATAAATGATACTCCATCTGTTCTCAAAAACACTTCCTGTTTCATTTTTTTCATTTCCAACAAAATACTTCCGCTTTCTATTAAAAAATCATTTTTACTCTTACTTTTTCATACCCTACCTATCGCATCATACTTTTTCTCTAATAATCTATCCATCACATCAAGGACAAAATTGGAAGACAATTATAATTTAACACTTCCTTATTTTGGCTCCAAGTCAACGTAGAAAACCTTTTTGCAAATGGAGGGAGTAATATAATTCGAACGTACATATAATCAAAGCTCAGAGAGAGAGACATAAGTGCGTGCATGGGAGTAGCTAGGTTTAATTTGATAGAACAGTGGAATATATATATATATATATATATATATATATATATATATATATATATATATATATATAACGAAGAAAAGAAAAAAAGTTAAAATGAAGATTGAAGAATAAGAAGAAGAAGAGTCGGTTAGGGAGGCAATTCAAATGCATTAAATATTATATTAAGAGCATTGCTTTAAATAAAACAATAAAGAGGTGTTGGTTGCATTTGGTTGGAATTGAAACGAGAAGTTATTGCCACTTGTGATTTCACTTGAAGTGCACGCCATTATTATTTAATATTCAACCATCAATTTTTATTACTCTATATATCCCCTTCTCTATTTATTATGAAATATTTGCACTAAATATTACTCCCTCCGTCCTATAATGATCTTTCCAGAGCACAATTCCAACTTCACGAAAATTTATATTTATTTGTGTTTTTTCATGGCCTATATGATAAAATAAAATATTCTTGTCACCACTTGTTTTGTTGAACTTTTGGTGTAGTTTTTAAATATGTATGTTTTATTTTTTTATTTATATACCAATATTTAAATAAAATAGATTGAAAAACTTGGGATTTTTCTTCGTTTTGCGAATCGGGAAGATCATTATAGGACGTAGGGAGTACTAAACTTAATTTATTTCCCTACATAGCATTTAAATTATTTTATTTTCCAAATAGCATTTAATAATGTTCAGAAGGAAGAATAATGTCCAGTGAAGACAAACATTTACTTGAATAATGACTTATAGATAATGACTAAAAGTGTTATATTGAGAAAAAAAACACATATAATGTTATCTAGAAAAAAAATATTATGTTTTAGTGTTATGTAAGTAATTTCACATTTATTATCTCCATATTTCTTTTAATACTAATTGTTCTATTATAATGTAATATTTATTCATACATTTTCAATGACATATGAGCTATGAGTCTTGTTTACGGTGAAATTCCAAAAAATTTTGAAAGAAAAATTAAAAATACAATACTAATAGACAAATTTCAACTTTTAGAACATTATTTTAGAACGCAGGAAAAAAGTAAAGTTATTTAAGTACGAAGCAGTTCCGTAGACACTAGTTCATAGAGTTATGCTACTTCATTCCTTTTTGAAGCACCTATGATACTCATTCATAAATTTGATAATTTCTATCCCATAATCTTCAACTTTGAACCTCTCACCCCAATCTCGGCTATCCCTTATCGAAATGTGTGACCAGACAATTGCTTAACGGCCACAAATTTGGAAGGTGGTCATAACTCGGATGGCGGGCTTGGTAGTAATTAGAGTAGGGAATTCAGAGGATTAAAAGGTAGGAACTATGAAATTTGTAAACGGTGATCCGAAAACATAATAGCTCTACTATAAGCGGGTGGCTACGGAACCACTTCAATTTAAGAAAGGAGAGGGACGTAGGTAGGGATGGGAGTACGTAGGAGGTAGAGAGGTAGGGTATATTTAAAGCCATTGCCCTTACTTCTAAATTCTAATCCAATTTGCAGTCTTCAATTCCATACATCTACCCGCCAACCTTCCACTTTCTCCTCCCTCCTGGCAGCCACCTCTTCTTCTTCATCATATTCATATTCACTTCACTCCCTCCCATCCCATCCCCAGTTCTTATATATATAGATGTTCTCATCAAACGAAACCCTTCATTCATGTTTGTATCATTGTATTCTATACCATAAACCATAGACACAATTAATCCACCATGGTTTCATTCAACCTATCAGACCATCCTAACAAGAGAAAAAGATTTCACCATGCTGTGGAAGAAGAAGAAGAAGACGACCAGCAAATAACATCCCAAAGAGCCAAAACCATCCATTCTCTCCTTGGCATTGAACTCCCCCTCTTGACTCCCCTCCCTTTGGAGTGGCAAAGATGCCTTGACATTAAGGTATTTCATTTATATACACCCCTTCTTTCTTTTTTTGGTACAAAAATATATTTACCCCGCCCATATATATCGGGCTTGTTTAGAAATAGAGTTAGCGATTAGCGTTAGCGTTTTGAAAAGGTTATACACGGTCAGCGTTTAGCGTTAGTGTTTTCAAAATAATCTGCACCGTTAAAACTTTATTAAAACGCTAATGTTAATCTCCAACGCTATCATATACTCAAATAGGCCCATCATCTTTATTTATATTCTGTACGTCCCAAAATTTTAATTTTTGGTATTCTATTTAATTAATTGTAGTCCGGGAGAGTGTACTTCTACAACACGAGAACACATGAGAAGACGTCGAGTGATCCAAGGCTGCGCCGCCGAGAGCCTCCGGCGAATTTGGACCTCGAACTAAACTTACTCTGTGGGTCGTCCGAACGACACGTCGGCGACAATTTCTCGGAGATGACCAAATTTTCCGGCGGCATCCGAACAAGGGATGACCAGTTGACCGCGAGTAAGAATTCCGACGGCGGCGGGAAGAAGAGGAGGGGGGTGTTTCTAAGCCTGGCTCGATCGCCGTCGTGGCTGACGTTCGACGGCGACGGAGACGTGGAGGAAGAGGAGGAGATGGTGACGGCGGTGTGCAAGGAGTGTCACATGTTGGTCATGCTTTGTAAGACGGCGCCGACGTGTCCTAATTGCAAGTCGGTGAGCCTTCCGGCCCCCGGTTTGGATCATATGTGGTCGCCCAATAAAGGCAGTCCACTCCTGTTGAATTAATTGATTCATTTAATCATACTCATCTCCCTAGTACTCTCCGCTTAATTATAATTATTTGAGGATTAATTATTAACGTGATCAAATATTTGATATAGAGTATATTTATGCCTCTTTTTTAATTTGTCTATTTAAATCACATATACACATTAAAAGACGTAGATTTATATATTTAATTTGTTTGAACCGGTTTAATTTTATGGGGTAAAATTGAACCCGTACAAAACAATGATATACTGAGTATTAATTTCGAAACACAATTTTAAAATACTCCCTCCGTCCTGCAAAAAAGTTCACATTTTGAATAGTATTTAGTCAAATATTTTACACGCTTTGACTAGAAATTATGATAAAGGTATATTGAATTATAAAATAAATTTAATATAATTGGATTCATCTTAGGATCTAGTTTTGATATCTCAAATTTTTTTAGCATTTCTTTATTTAGATTATATTTAATTTATGGTCAAAGTGTGTAACTTTTTGACCAAAAATACATCCAAATGGGAACTTTTTTGTGGGACGGAGGGAGTATTTTATTTTTATAATAGTCTCTCTGTCCATAAATAAACTTTACGTTGTGCGTTATGATGTTTGATTGAAGTTATTTTTAAAATCATTTTATATGAAAAATGGTGTAAAATTGAAAAATAAAAATTACTTAAAAAATTATATCAAAAGATCTACAAAATTAGAGGTGACCTGACTATATTATTTTATCAAATGAGTGACGAAAATAAGCTAACAAAGTGAATAAAGTTTTATCCTGTGAATAGTGAATGTAATAGATAAAAATATTACATTGAAGAAAGGACAGAGTATAAAATCCCACAAAAAGATATCCTAAAACGGGCCATTTGGATTTGTCCGATTTTGAACTCTGGTCTCAAGCGGCCCAGTCAAGCCTGTAACAGGCAACTTTACCCAAGAACTCGGCACGGCCAACTTAGTCCAAGCCTCCAAGGCCCAGTTCCGGGCCAGCTCCACCTCTTTGCTTAAGTTTCTAGTGAGGAAAGAAAATAAGCAATTTTTGATATTATAGAGAGCTTCAAATCTTTCATCTTCATGTTAGAAAATTTAATGATTAATTAAGATTGAACTTGGATTGGTCCTAACCGAACTTCCCTGGCTAAAAGTCCCTACTTTTTTAAAAAAATCAAACTAATTTAGGTGGATTCGAAAAGAATACTCTTATTATTTTATTTATGAAATAATTCTACTTTTCTTTTTACAATTCTGTGTTACTCCCTCCGTTCTGAAAAGGAGTTTCTATTTTGACCAAGTGTAAAAAATAAAAGTGTTAAATTGTAGTTGACTTCTAATTTTGCTTATGATATGATATGTAAAAGTAAGATATGATGGATAAATTGTTAGAAAAGAAGTTTGATGTGATAGATAACGTATGAAAAAGTTAGGGTAAAAATGATTTTTTAATAAAAAGTAGAAATATTTTGTTAGAAGTGAAAAAAATAAAAGAGAAAGTGTTTTTGAGAACGAATGGAATACATCATATCTATTAATTATTTTTAGTACGGTTATGAGATCAAAAGCAAAAATAAAAACTAAATAGTCCGTAATAAAACACTCCCTAAAAATTCAAAATGGGAATTATTTTTCAAGTTAGAGAAAGTATCAGGTTATATATATGCTGTGCGCTCTCCGATCTCTCTGCAAAAGTCAAACATTTCCCTTTTTTTCTTCATCTTCTTCTCTATTTTCTCCCTCATCTTTAGCCATGGATCTCCGCATGCATAGAACACAGTTTTTTTTGCCGCTAGGCAATATTTTTGGCCCAGCTATTTTTAGCCTTGGATATATATATATATATATATATATATATATATATATATATATATATATATATATATATATCTCGATGACGTATGAAATAACTTTTGTTTTCTTTCTTGATTTTTTTACGTTTTGTGTTCCCTCTAAGACGAAAAAATAGTAATAATAATAGTAGTAATGACGTTTAAAAAATAGTAATAATTTCGTTTGTTATATTACTTTGAATATTTTTGGTCAATTTCATAGGTAATAATTAATTTTAGAATAATGTATAGATTTTTAAAATAAATCAAATATATGTATAAATAATCTATGTATTATAAACCATATGCTAGAATCATTTTTAATCATGATGATAAAACATTGTAAAATTTATCAAACTCTGTGTAGACTTAAAATAATTTATTAATTTCACAAAATTCATCATTTCTAAAGAATCTATCAGCATTTTTTTAAATCTGAATCGAATACATTATTCGTGTATATATATTTTGTTGAGTGTCCAAAGTCCAATCACAAGACTTACGTACTTTGTGGTTAATTAGTGGATTCACTAATTATATAATACGGTCAAACTTGATGAAGATATGAATCACGAGTGCTTACAATTTATTTTTGATGAATTTTACTTAAATAGCACTAAAACATAATGACTTTCTCTAAACAACATTATATGTGTTTTTCTTCCCAATGTAGCACTTTTAGTTATTATCCATTAGCCATTATTCGTCATCGCAGAACATTATGGACATTATTATGCTATTTAGAGTAAAACAATTTAAATTCTATTTAAAGAAATGACTTAAGTTTTAGTACTATTTAGTACAAATATTTCTTTATTTTTTGTAAGAAGCTAAGTTTGAAATACAAAGATATTTTTAAAAAATCAAATAAATACATATAATATATACTCTCTCCGTTCCATAAACCTCTCCTTTTCGTTTTTTCAGTCCTTAACACACTTACACTTTGTATTTAAAAAATTACTTTTATCCCTATTTTTTCGTATCCTATCTATCACTTCATACTTTTTCACTAACAACCAAATTATCACATCTTACTTTTATTGGAAAGTCAATCAGAATTATATTTTTTTTATTTTTACCCAAAGTCAAAATGAGAAGAGTTTAAATGAAGGGAGTGAGGAGGGAGTATATATGTTCAAATGATTTCGTATTGACGTGTGAAGGGTGAAACATCTATGTGAGATCTGAGGCGGTTTTGCCATTCTCATTTGCAATAGTGTGAAAAAATCATCTCAACCACAAACTTCATCTTATAATTTTGACTTAAAAATGATTCTTTAAGAACTCAATTCTTAATAAAGTAGAGCTAAAAAAGACTACAGAGTACTTTGTAAACAAGCAATTTGATACTCCCTCCGTCCCTAAATAAAGTTCCTCTTTCGTTTTTTCTTTGTCCCTAAATAAACTTCTCTTTTCCCTTAAAAAAACCCCTTTTACCCCTTACTTTTTCATACCCTACCTATCACATCATACCTTTTTACTAATAATCTACCTATCACATCTTACTTTAACACATCACATCAAGGGTATTTTTGGAAAGTCAACACCAAAATATCCCTCCCTTAAATCCTCAAAAAGTCAAAAATGGAACTTTATTTAGGAACGGAGGGAGTATGATGGATAAGAAGTCACCCTAAATAATACTTCCTCTGTCCCATAATGTTCTTCCCGGTTCATTTTACGAGGTTTGATCGACTTTATTTTCAATTCAATTTATTTGATTGTAGGTGTAAAATTAAAAAAATAAAATTTAGATATTTAAAAACTACATCAAAAGTTCTACAAAACAAGTGGTGACAAGATTATATTATTTTATCAAACACCTAATGAAAATAGATAAAGAAAGTGATTAAAGTTTGACCGGATAAAAAGTGAGTGAGAAGAACATTTTAGGACAGAGAGAGTACTAAGAATGGAGAAAGTATCAAAATAGGGGTTTCCTGTTATAGTAAACTGATATTGTAAATGTGCATTTTGCGTAATGTAAATAGTAATAATTGATAATATAAATCATTTTAACTCTTGTTTTAGAAATAAAAATATAAAACTCTTATTGTAAGGTTCTATTCATATTTTAGTCTTTTTATACTTTGAAATTTGAAATGGGAACGTTTATAACAAGAGTAAAACACAATGTAAAGTCAGAAATCGTTTGCTCCATCGTATTAAGTATGATATGACTAATGACTATTAATGTGCCAACAAAGTAGTAATCAATTCCATTTTCCAGGCAACATTGATCTGCCATAACAACGTTTTATTTCTACTCAATTTCAATTCTCTCCATCCCGTCCTTTCCAACATCCCATAAATGGACGTTACGTATTCAAAAATTGAATTGCATGCATGGACCACTTTATTACTCCCCCTTTGCTAATTAATTTAAGTCTTCCCCACGCGTTTACGTAACTCTCCCCCCTTATTCTTCCATCTCTTCCATCTCCCAAATGTGTATATATAAATGCACACCACAAAATTACCCGAGTAAATTTAAAAACCACACTTTTTACTAAGGTGAAAAAAATGGCGAGATTTGCATTCCTTTCTGGCTTTCTTTCACTGCTTCTCCCGCTACTCATCGCCGCCGTGTCGGCCACCAACAAAAATGACACCAATCTGATGTTGTGGGGCTGCTCCTCCACCACCAACCGCGCCCTGTGTCTCAACTACCTCAGGTCCGACCCCCGCAGCTTCGCCGCCGGGAGCTACACCGAACTCGGCAAAATCATGGCCGGGTTCGCGATGGCCAAAGCCAAGGACACGCTCTCGTACGTCACAAAGTTGTCGGGCCCCGGTGGAAGGATGACGGGGAAGGCTGCCGTCTCCGGCCTGGAGACCTGCCGCCGCGGTTACAGCCGAATCATATCCGTGCATATTCCCAATGCCCTCCGGACCCTCCCGGTGGCCGGGGAGGAGGAGGCCAGCCGGCGTTTGGGGGACGCCATCGGGGAAGAGGTCGGGTGCGAGGAGGCGGTTGGAAAGAGCAGAGTCAAATCGCTGTTGACGAAGAGGAATAAAGATTTCCATGATGTTACCATTTTGGCCCAAGATTTGTGGTTTTTGGTCTGGGGTTGATTTTTTTTTTTTAATTTAATTATGTGTGGTTGTGGAAGGTGTTTTCATAGTTTAACAATTGTACTTATTGTCCCTTTTCAATTAAATATGCCTTTATATTACATTAATATTAGTAAGTTTTTATTATGTTTTAGTGTTATTTAAGTAAATTTTTCTTGTTTTTAGTATTTATCTTGTATTATTAGATTATATTTTTGGTTTACGTGTTCGAACTTAGTTGAGTTATTACGAGTTTTCTAGTTCTCATAGTGAGTTGCAGAATGATTTACCCAAATCACAGCTGGCTTAATTTTCTTCAATTGTTCTCCATTTTAGCAGGTTGTCATGACTTAATTACACTATTTTGTCTAGTTTTTTATTTTTTACAAGATATTAGAATTAATAAAATTTGATTATTAATTAAATAAATACTCCGTATGATTAGGGCTGTTCACATTTAGGTCCGGACCGAAAAAACCGACCGAACCGGACCGTTAGGTCCAGACCGAACCCGGACCGAATGGATTTCGGGTCGGTCTTCGGTTCAGAAAATTTAGACATTCGGGTTTCGGTCTGGTCCGGTCCAAACCCGAAATGATTTAGGTCCGGACCGATTGGACTGGTTGGACCTAGCTAATGACCCTACTGGACTTAAAAGACCTAAATACTAAAACTCTACTTTTTAAGTTCCGTATTACACTTTAATGCTCTATTTTAATAGATATTTTAATTTATTTAATTAAAAAGGTTTTTTATTAAGTACTTTTTTAAAAAATCTAAAAAAAACATTTCATATTTGTTTTTATGTTTCTACATTGAAATAGTTCATATTGTGTATTCATTTTAAGGTTGCATATTTTTTTTATTCATTTTCTATTTGAATGGTACAAAGTAAAAAGTCTAAAATATATTTAATTGATCAAAATAATTAAAAAAATATGTATTTTTTTCGACCCAATCGGTCCGGACCGGTTCGGTCCTAAATATTTCGGTCCGGTCCGGTCCAAACCCGAGTAGATTTAGGTCCGGTCTTCGGTCCTTGAATTTACTCATTTCGGTCTTCGGTCCGGTCCGGTTCGGTCCGGTCTTAGACCGATGAACAGCCCTACGTATGATGCTTGTATTTGATATTAATACAAAAAAGAATGATTGGATTTATTTTATAAAATTGATAATTACAGATCATAAGTAGTTGAATGTAATTTACTATTTGTCTACTTTTCACTTTTTTGTCAAAATTGATAAAAATTTTACTTAAATTAAATAAAATTGAAATTTGTACTAAATAAGACTAAAACATAAGTCATTTATCAATGTAGGACTTAAACTTTTTTATTCCTTAAATAAGACTTAATAATGTCTAATGATAGAAATAATGTCCAATAATGATGGACATTTAGTTAAATAATGATTAATTGATAATGACCAAAAATCTTACGTTGAGAAATAAAAACATATATTCCTGTATTCGAAAAGTCATTATGTTTTAGTCTTATTTAGGTAAATTTCTCAAAATAAAAATGATATGAAATTTTGGTCCAAAAATAGTTTTATTAAATTTATTCTATCAAATATTTTCAACTGCATTAATACTAAAGACGATGGAGATAATACACTACGTATTCCGTAAGAAGAGTGTCCTCTTTGTCATTACCACACATCACGCATTGCTAAAATTTCTAAAATTAAGGATTCTTATTAACAAGACGCTTTTCTAAATTAGTCCTTGATAATAATTATGAACGTAGTATTTCATAATTAATACTCCGATATTATATTTATCTTCTAGATTGTCCTTTGTCATAAACTCCATTATAAAAATTATATAAAAATGTTATCTCACATCAGAAGTTGATGAAAAGATAATCGGAATATAAGCCATTGAATTAAACTAATTAAATATTAAATTAAATTTAATTTTTCAATGTAGTTCAATTCAAATATACATCTCTGGGCTCAATCTTGTGACTAACCCTTCGTACATATCTCATGCTATCGGATTCAATTTAGCTCATCACATGTATTAAGGTGCGCGTTTAGAAGTTTATTCATAATCGTTCATTCATCTTTAATCTAGTTGTCTGTATAGAAAATGATATGTTTCATAAATATTTTAATTCTTCATCTGTATTTTCATATTCAGCGATTTGTAGTACTTTAGGTGTTGATACTTTTGATCTTTCATTTCATGAGAGAAATTGTATTTGCAAGTGGTCAAGCAGTTTTGTCCAAAATGACCATCTTGTCCACTTAAGGGAGTGTTAAAATATCAAATCGAAAATTGAAGAAAAAAGTTATACATTTGCAAGCTTTTGAGTTGAACTAAGTAATTAATATTTCTAGATTGTTTTTCAAAAGAAAGTTAATTTGTTGATTCAATATTTGAAAAACAAACGATTTAGAAAATGGGGAACTAATTAATTTCATATTCAAGATTTTGTAAATTGATACTTCCTCCGTTACACAAAACTCTTCATCTTTCGTTTTTTTTGCTTTCCACAAAACATTTCCACTTTCTATTAAAAAACCACTTTTACCCCTATTTTTTCATACCCTACCTATCACATACTCCCTCCGTCCTAAAACGTTTTACACATTTTGACTAAAGTGGAAATTAAGGAAGAGATAATTTTGTGTTGACTTTCCAAAAATAACCTTGATTTGATGTGTAAAAGTAGGATGTGATGTGTAGATTATAAGGAAAAAGGTATGATGTGATAGGTAGAGTTTGAAAAAGTAAGAGGTAAAAATGGTTTTTTAATAGAAATGGGTAGGAGATTGTGAGACGCAATTTTTTTGAAAGGTGTAAATCTTTTTGGGACGGAGGTAGTAATACTTTTTCACTAATAATTAAATTATTTCATCTTACTTTTTTCCATAACATCAGGGACAAAATTGGAAAGTTAACCAAAATTTGAATGTTTATGCAAAGAAAAAGGAAATACAAAGATGATCCAAAAGTCGTTACTAATAAATCATCACAACGTTCTACTAAATTGCCCCATCGGAGTTGCATGATCCCATAAAGAGACGTTACGTATTCCACATTACGGAGTCCTGTAGAATTATATGCCTCGACGACTTTAATTCTCCGTTCAAAATTTGTATATATAAATACAAAATCACTAGTCGCATAAAACATATATAAAACCTGTAATTACATTAATTACATACCCCGGAGTAACATATTAACGAAAGGGAAAAAATGGCGAAGCGTCTTTTAGTTTTAGGCTGTCTTTCAGTGCTCCCTCTAATCCTCGGCGTCGTGTCGGCCACCAAGAAAGACACCACTCTCATGTTGTGGGGCTGCTCCGCCTCCACCAACACCGCCCTGTGTCTCAACTACCTCAGATCCGACCCCCGGAGCTTCGCCGCCGGGAGTTACACCGATCTCGGCAAAATCATGGCCGGGTTCGCGATGGCCAAAGCCAAAGAGACACTGTCGTACGTCACAAAGTTGTCGTCCTCCGGCGGGAGGATGAAGGATAAAGCTGCCGCCGCCGGCCTGGAGACCTGCCGCCGCGGTTACGGCCGGATCATCTCCGTGCATATTCCCAATGCCCTCCGGACCCTCCCGGTGACCGGCGAGGAGGAAGCCAGCCGGCGTTTGGGTGACGCGATCCGGGAAGAGATGGAGTGCGAGGAGGCGCTCCGGAAGGGCCGAGTCAAATCGCCGTTGACCAAGAGGAATAGTGATTTCTATGATGTTACAATTTTAGCCCAAGAATTGTGGTTTCTTGTTTGGGGTTAATATTATGGGTGAATGGGAAAACCAAACAAAATCAATTCAAACTAAATTTCTAAAACTATATCGTTTAATGTACATTTGTGATATACTTCTATGATAAAATGAATATAAGTGTAGGAATACACACACACATATATACACATATGCGAATCAATAATAACACATTTAAAATTTTCTTAAATCAACTTTTATATTTTTTTCCCAGGGAAATCATTATACTCTTGTAATCTCTATATATATAGACATATATTTTTCTTTATTTAATTAAACTATTTATTATCAAATTATATGGTTTTTTAGTGCTTATGTATGGACTTTTCCGATTATATTGTTTGTGGCTTTAACGGTATTCCGTATTTTCCTTATTTAACAATAGTACTTGTTTTTTGTATCGATTATAGATAAGATTTTTTATATTTGTTTTTAAAATAACATTAAAACATTATGGATTTTTCAATGAGAAATTTACCTAAATAAGACTAAAACATAATAACTTTTCCAATATAAGACCATATGTTTTTATTTTCCAATGTAGGACTTTTGGTCATTATCATGTAGTCATTATTCAAGTAAATGTTTATCATTACGGTACATTATTCTTCCCACTAAGTCATTATTAAGTCCTATTTAGGGAATAAAAAATTTGAAGTCCTACATTGGGAAATGCATTATGTTTTAGTCTTATTTAGTACTCCCTCCGTTTGGAAAAACCCTTCCCATTTTAATTTGGGACAAAAATAAGGAAGTGTTAAATTATAGTTGATTTTCAATTTTGCTCCTGATGTGATGGGTAAAACTAAGATGTGATGGATAGATTATTAGAGAAAAAGTATGATGTGATAGGTAGGGTATGAAAAAGTAAGGGTAAAAGTGATTTTTTAATAGAAAAGGGAAGTGTTTTGTTAGAAGTGAAAAAAATGAAAGAGGAAGTGTTTTTGAGAACGGAGGGAGTACAAATTTTACTTTTTTAATATAGATATAGCACAACAAGTTTTAGTTTCATAAATACTATCTAATTAATTAATTAATTAGCAATTAAGTATTGATTCGAGTGTACTAAAATGTTATTTATATAATTTTATACTGCCTCCGTCCCAAATTATAATGTCTGTTTACTATTCACAAGGTCAAATTTCACTCACTTTCTTTCTCTATTTTCGTTAGCAATTTAATAAAATAAAATATTATTGTCACTTCTAGTTTTGTAAATTCTTTGATATAGTTTTTTAATATGTAATTTTTATTTTTTAGTTCTATACCATTTGTCATATAAAATGGTTTGAAAATAATTTCAATCAAACATCGTAAACCGAAACAGGCGTTATAAAATGGGACAGAGGTAGTACTTCCTATTGTTCTTCGCTCATCGTCAATCACAAAATGCCAACACCAGTGTCTCACCGCCATTTCGTTAATGTCAACTATGCATGATTTAATGACTTTCGTGGTTTCACTATTAATATCTAATATCATTGTTAATGTCTCCATATCCATTGTCAAGGCATTGTCACTTAAAAAAGATTTTATTGCAATTATAAATGTTCATTGCATTAGCCATCAATATCCTAGATCAGTAAACAATGTCCAAAATTTTTACATTGTCTTATGTCCATTATTTTTTACGATGTCCCGAATCAATGAACAATGTCAATAATTCTTACAATATCTATCAGAAAGAAAATTTATGCAGATAAATTAAAGAAAAAGGGAATCGATCAAAGGGAGAAAAAGTAGTCTAGATTTCTTTATACGGAATACTGAACAAATTAGATACAACAATGTTCTAGTAAATGTATATTAATAATTAATTAATTAGATGTTAGTTTTGGAAAAAAAACTTTGTTTAATGTCATTTGGAGAAAAGTGTCAAGTTTTGGTGTTACTTTGATCAAATTTCACGAGATTTTATAATTTTGTTCTTTTTTTGGATAAACAATTTGGTTGCTCTGATCTGGTTAAGCCTGTGTCTTGTGTTATGACTCAAGGTAATTTACTCTATTCAATAACGATTCATGGTTACTGAGGACATCCGACCCATGGTAAATTGGTTACGGTGAATAACTAAAGTGATCATGGAGGATTCAAGTGTATGAGTGAAAATATTTCTGTATATTCAAGTGTTCTACTAAAAAACAAAGACATCCTCCTTTATTCATAGGAGGAGAAAAGAAACATATCAATCCAACCAGGAAACAAAATCTGAGTTCTACTAGGAAACGAAATTAAAACAAATAAGGAAAGCAATCAAACAAGAATTCCAAAGGAATTGGAATTCGGCCACTGCCGTTTGATCAGCCGTGCAGTCCAAGTAACACTACCGAGTACCCAACTTAGATAGTAGATGACTAAACGACGCGGTACCCAACGCATTTGTTAGAAGATCTGCAGGTTTAGCGGAAGCAATGTGAGACGTGCGAAGCACACCATGCTGAATCTCATCGCAAACGAAGCGACAATCAATTTCAATGTGTTTTGTGCGTTCATGGAACACGAGATTAGCTGCAATATGGAGAGCTGTTTGACTATCACAAAAGAGGGTCATAGGGCCGTGACGACGAACACCAAGAGACGAGAGCAAGGATTGGAATCATTTGAGCTCACAGACTCTTGTGGCCATTGTGCGGTATTCCGCCTCAGCAGACGATCGAGATGCAGTATTTTGTTTCATTGTTCGCCAGGAGATGCGTGCGCCACCAAGCTTGATACAATATCCAGTCACAGAGCGACGTGTCAAGGGACAACTAGCCCAATCAGAGTCACAATAAGCCGTAAGAGAAAGAGAGCTAGCAACAGGAAAGAATAATCCCTGTCCAGGACGGGATTTGATATAATGAAGAACATGTTGAACAGCATCCCAGTGCTCTTGGCGTGGTGCACCCATGAACGGAGAAAGGGTATAACAACATATGCCAAGTCTAGTCGTGAACTGGTCAGATAAATTAAATCAAGTGACCAACAAGGTGACGATACCGACCCGGATCAGTTAGAAGTGCTCCAGTGGTGCCAGATGGTCGTTCGGCCGGCCTCGCACCCATCATCCCTGCTTCTGTCAAAATGTCTAGTGCGTAGTTTTGTTGACACAAAAAGAGACCCTCCTTGTTCCGAGCAACTTCAATGCCCAGAAAATATTTCAGTGGTCTAAGATCCTTCATGTGAAAACAGTCAGAAAGATATGTTTTGAAGCGGGAAACAAAAGACTCATTAGTGCCAGCAATAATCAGATCATCCACATAAATGAGAACATGAACTTCAATG